CTCATAAAACGTCTTTTGAAGCTCTATAGAGGTAGTTTCAGCTCAATTTTAAGACGCTCTACAACTATATGGAAATCTTCCTTCGATTCACCATAGTCGATAACTTATGATAGACTACGAACAATGCGTTTCTTCTACCATTTTACTAAACGGAAGCATCGATATTCAATTATGAACTTTGTTTGATATTTTTCTCACAACGAAGTTTTTTCTACTTGTGCGTTCCATAGTTTTCAGCCATTTACGCGCTAGGATGTTCAGAAGAGTTTTTAATTGAACAGAAAACTGTGTTCCACAATTTAACAGAGCCGAATTTTTATTTTCGAATTAGTTCTTGAGAAAAATGGATCTTTATCTACAGGTGTATTCCGGTGTTTTCCAGTTTTTAGTAACAACTGACGCTGAAAATTGACACAGAAGATTTTGAAAAATTGGGTTCTGTTAGCTGTGGTGGTGAGTGCTGACTACATCTTGATGCTAACCCGAGATTTGTATCATTAGATTTGCGTCAAAACCTATGACACACGGGTATCTATTTTTTGACCCTGAACATAAGGATAACTCTGGAAGAAATAGTCATTTCATCTTTGAGAAATATCATCGTTGTTAAAGTGTTTTTATTGAAACAGATAACATCTATATTTTACCTGTTTTTGAGAAAATTCATTGAATTACAAAATGATGATCTTCAATAAAATTCATGGTAGAATTTGTTTTCCTGTTATAATAAAAATACTATTGAAAAGTAGTACGAGATATTCCTTAAGAAGCATTATTGTCTGAAGTGAATCATACAAAATAAACACACATATATCTAGATTACTTTGAAGAAAAGGAAAAAGGATGACTTTTGTTTTTAATGTTTTCTCACAGATATCACTGAGAATGATAGAGCAAAGCAAACTAGATGTTGTCTAAAGTATTCAATAAAAACGTTTTTGTATTACAAACAATAATTCAAATTTAAAGATATTTTCAGTGAAATGTACTATGTTCACAATTCGAAATTTTAGCAGTATTTATTTTTCATTTTTCGTTATGCTTGGATAGAATCGTAGAGTTACATAAGAAACAGTGGCGGATTTAGAGGGGGGCGCTTGGGGCGGTCGCCCCATATCGACACAGCAAAAGATCGATTTTTTCTAGTAGAAAACGCTTAAAATTGAGCTGAAACTACCTCTATAGAGCTTCAAAAGACGTTTTATGCATATGCTAAATTTGTTAGTTTGACAATGAGAGTAATAATTTGATTTGATGTGTAGAGAAAATTTCATGTCTAAAATCAAAAAATGAACTCTTTACAGTTTTTTTTGTGATTATTGTGACAATAAAAATAAGACCATATTTAAACTTAGAATTTACTGTCTGAATACTGTTCTATTCAATAAAATGCTCCATTTATTTTAATAGTTCGATATATTTAATTTTGATTTAGACACTTTTATGAGACTTCTTTTTCTGTTTTTCAAGTAAAATAATCTGTTGTCATTTGTCGGATCATAATAAATCCATACTGCGTATGTTGATATGAACAGAAAAAGATTAACATGCATAATTGCAGAAATCAATATATTCAAACAATAAAGACTTTAATAATTCTTTTTCTTGTATGAATTGATGAATCAAAACCTCATTTTTAAAAATGGTCATGTTTTATTCAATTTTATTTCTTCAGAAATTGAACGATAGTTTGTCAGAATAAAAAGCCTAGCGTGAGCTGTAAAAAACCAATCAAGGAAAAGTATATTATGTACAATCTCCTTACTTTTCAGAGCATATGTTGAAAACAATAATATACGAAAAAAAAATACGATATTACTATTTTCTTGCAAAAAGAAAGATTTAAATATTCGAGAACGTGATTCGATCAGACACTCCTAGCGAAACTGGAATGTTCCAAAAAGACAGTCAATTGATTCTTTACATGGGGCATTTATTCATACAATCAGAAACATCTTGTTTTTGAATAACAATGAACAACATAGTATTCTCGTAACTGAATTACCTTCAAAATTGAGTTACTTTTCAAACGTAAATACCTTTCTTTGAAAAGTGATAAGACTTAGACCTCTTGTGATGTTTGAAGAGTTTATTCAATGCAGTTTTATAATATCCAATGAGTTTTGGGTGTGGGTGTAGAGCGTAAGTGAAGAGAAGACAAACACTCACACACACACCTCTATCGATAATATCCAGCATTAAAATTACTCTTTTCTGATCTCCCTCTTATTGTTGTTGTTGTTATTATTCTTGCTACAATGTGTGGTATTATGTTTTTTAACGGATTAGAGAAAAGAAGATGACAATATTGAATAAATTCCATTGAGCATAAACATCATACTAGTCTATAGTGTTGTTTAGCAAACATCTAAATATGGTGGTCAAATAATAAGAATTCGTTAACTTTTTCTAAATACTCATAGTTTTTTTTTCTTTATATGTAAGGTCTTATAGGTGTTCTGAAATACTACGCATTTTATGAGCTAGTTTTCTAGATCGAGAGAGCACTTCTTTTTGTTATACTTGCAAGATTCGCGTAATGAGAGAGAAAAACAACATAGTTGTTCGCAGTGCACCTCTTATTTTCATCTCTGTTATGGACAGAAGAAATGAAAGAGAGTTGAAC